ACTCATGGAAGCAAAGAATAGAATTGTGGCTGCCAGGGACTGGAGGGGAGGGGAAACAGAAAGTCGCTAATCAATGAATATAAAATTTCAATTATGCAAGATAAGTAAGTTCTAGACAGCTGCTGTACAACACAGTACGTACAGATAACATCAGTGTATTATACACTGAAAAATCTGTTACGAAGGTAGATCTTAAGAGTTCTTACCACACACACACAAAAAAGACTATATAAAAGAAGAAAAAACTGTGTAAAAATGATAACACATCAGTCAAAACTGTGGTACTCTGCATGGGAAGAGACAGAGGGATGAGGTGATAAAATGATAAGGATGCTTATTACACTAAAAAGATAGCAAAGACAAGACCTCCCATGAAGTATTTTTATCAAAAACTGGTTGGGACTCTACTGAAACCATTAAATTTGACTATCTAGTTTCAAAGAAATACAGGGTATGGATAACATGTTCAGTAGCACCAAAGGGAAATCTTGAGAATTCACCAGTCAGGGAAATCCAGAATGCAGGAAACTATAGACCCAACAACTCGGTTTCATCAACAAATTAAAAAAAAAAGGAATTGAGGAAACCTATAGTTAAGAGGGAGAGAAATCAACCAAATGCAGTATGTGGATTACTCTATATAAACTAGATAAACAACAAGGACCTACTTTATAGCTCAGGGAACTATATTCAATTTCTTGTAATAACATAATGGAAAGGAATCTGAAAGAAGAATATATATACATGTATGTGTATGTATAACTGAATTACCTGAAACTAACATAGTAAATCAACTACACTTAAATAAAAAAAATTTTTAATGCAGTATGTGGATCTTCTTTGGCTCCTGATTTCAGCAAATCAAATAGAAAAGCCATTTATGAGACACTGGGGATATTTTGAACACTACCTAGATGACAGGGGATACTATGGAATTGTTCATTTTTTAGTTTGATGATGGCATTGCGGTTTTTTAAAGTCCTTATTTTGTAGTGATAAGTACTAAAATATTTTTGAAAAAGCTCCATAACTTTTGTCCTATAGTTTTTGTACTTTTCTCATAACATTGTTGTAGTTTGTATACTTGTCACACACATACACACTCACATGTGTGCACACACACGTTTCTACCCAGCAGGATTGTGTTTCCAAGGCACAATTCTTCCTCACCTACTATCTTCCGCAGACCTCAGCACAACGCTTTGCATACAGAGGGTGTTCAAATATTTGAATTTTTTTAAAAGCGGGGGAGGGTATGGCTTAAGTGGTAGAGCACATGCTTAGCATGCACAAGGTCCTGGGTTCAATCCCCAGTACCTCCTCTAAAAATAAATAAGTAAACCTAATTATCTTCCCCCTAAAATAAATAAATTAAATTTTTTAAACTTTTTAAATTTTCTACATTAAAAGAAGGGGAAAGAAAAGAAACATCCCAAAAAAGGGCCAAGCACATTCCAATGATGAGAAATATACCTTGAACCAAGGATTATGTTTAATACAACTTTTTCTACCTGAGGTCCAAAAACAAAGTCCCTGGGAGCAAAGAGCAGGGTGCAAAGCTGTTGAACTGGCTAGTCACCTTCCTTGGGGAAGAAAGTGCAGATACCCCTGGCCAAGGTGGGCCCCTCTGACATACTCTCTGCACAACTGTAGCTAACTTACTCTGTATACTGTCCCCTACATAGTGTCCGTCTCCATGGCCACACTGAGGGCCCCACCCTGGGTACGGTCACCTGGCAGGACTCCTGAGTGGTTGACAGCCCGAAGGAAGAAAGCTCAGCACTGACCAGAGGAGGAGCAGCACCGACCACAGAGAGGGTCCCAGTAACATCCTGGTACCCAAGTCAGGAACACCAACTGGAGACTGATCAAGATGGAGAGCCTGGAGTGGGGCGTGGTGCGGGGCTGGGACCACAGCCCTGCTCCTTGGAAGAGCTGATGAAGGGCATGGGGTCAGGAATGGCCTGCAACAGGAAGACGGGACTAGGAAGGGGAGAGGGGCTGGAAGGAAGAGTAACGAGGGAGCAGCTGCTGCCTGCTGTGTAACCTGGGGCTCGGCGGGCCTAGGCTGGCCTGGTCCTTTCTCTGTGCGGTAGGATGTGGAAGACCACAGGAATGCAGGCAATGCCAGTGCATCACCGTAGAAAACTGAATTCCTGAGCACGTCCATCTGGGAGGCTTACTCAGACAAGTAACCACGTTCACCAACACAGCTAGGGAATGAGGACCCATCAAGTCGTGGGTGGGACGGGGGACCGTGGAGGAGGGAGGGAGGGGCGCCCTCTGCCTGCAGTAGAGGAGGGGCAGGAGGAGCTACAAAGAAGAGCCCACATCTGATTGCATCTAGAAAAACTTGGCAGGATGGAAAGGGAAAGAAAAACAAATCACATATTGAAAGCTCATGATGGTCTAAGCGCTGGTTAGGCACCTAAGTTTCCTTCTGGAAGCAGGACCACACAAAGGCCAGGATATGTGAAAATACAACGGTGTGCCTGAGTTCCTTTCCCTTCTTAACAATGCCCAGTAAAGTGGCCAGAGGTCGTGGGCTGGATTCCGCAGACTAGGAGGAATGTTCTGTCTATTCCTGTCCCCTTGTCAATAGGGAAAAACCCATTCAAGATGAACTGCTGCTTTTACTTCTAGGAATTAACTCTAGAGCCATGATCAGAGAGGGGTGTCAAGATAGACCCACCGAGCTCAAAAACAGGAAACCAAATGGCCAATCACTAGAGTCAGATTGGTTAAAATATCAGGTAGTCGTCAGGAAGCACGGTATCAAAGATGGGTTAATGGTGTGGAAGAGCTACACCCCATATTACACGAAAAAAATCAGGTTACAAATCGATGTGATCCCAACTTTATAGGGAAAAAGTATAATGTGTTTTTTAAAGATTGAAAAGAAATCTAACATTCAGAGAATCTATCTCTTCATGGTGGAATTATGGGTGAAAACCTTTTCATCCTTATTACCTATTTTCTACAGTGAATATGTTTTACTTTTTAAAAATTAGATAATAGTACACAGAAGAATGTTATTTAAATGCACACACACCGCTGAACACAGGCCTGGGTTGGGTAGGCTCACCTTCTGCGAGATGGGGGTAGGGCAGGTGTTGTCAAACAGGACTGAGCTGAAGATTCCATACACGCCCTCGTGGAGGTGGTACACGATGGTCTTGGGGGCGGAACCGGTTTCCTCTGCAGGGAGGGGAGAGGTCGGGGCAGCACAAGCAGCAGTGTGAGGGGCCGAACAGTGGCCGGCTCGGCAGAGCTCAGGTTACTGAAAAGAAAGGACTAACCCTTTTTCAGCTATGGGGTGGCTCCTGCCTCCTCCTGTGACAGGAGGTTCACTGCTGCATTGGAAATACCTTGCAGCTGAGCAACCCTGCTGAGGACACACTCCCTGCCTGCATCTGAGCCCCCTCAATGCCCCAGCAAAGGCAGAAAGAAAAGCAGCCCACCCAAGCCCAAAACCCCAAGAGGTTAAACCACCTGCTCAGAGGCACATGATGGGGCAGTGCGTGAGCTGGAATGAGAAGCCAGGTCTCCTGGCTAATAGGATAATCCCCCAGATCCATAAAGGAGGCCAGAATTCCATCACTACACACACACACACGTATACACACACACACACACACACACACACACAGACCATCACCCCTCCACATGGATTCTCCCTGGGGAAGAGTACACAAGCTCTCCTGCCTGGAGGCCCCAGAGCAGAGAACAAAGCCCCGAGATCAGAGTCAACCTCTCATTCAAGGGCCTGCTGGGAGGACTGAACTATCTGGAAGGTCAGGGAAGAGCACTAATGTTGGCCGTGTGGGCAGAGGAGACTTGAGTCAGCCCACGTGGACTTGAACCCCAGCACTGCTCCTTATCAACTGTGTGACCTTGGGCTAGTGACTCAGCCTTTCCTTGCCTACGTTCTGTCATCTGTAAAGTGGGCTTAGACAAATATAAGTTGTCATTAATTATTTTCATTATGTTACGAGAAGCAGTTGGGTGAGTAAGAGCCTGTACATTGGAGAGAAGACAAATATGGGTCAAATGCAGGCTTTACCACTTACTAGCTATTAAAAAATTCACTTGTATTCTCTCTAGCTCTTAATTTCCTCATTTGTACAACGGGGTTAATCAAATGTCTAATTCTCCCTCAGGTTGCTTTGATCTCAATCTTCATAAAATAGAAACGTGCATAGGGGGAAAAAAGATGCTAAATGACTGTCTTGGGAGTGAGGAGATGTGATTATAAATTTCCCTAAAGCAAGGACCCAGTCTCCAGAGTCCCCCAGCCCCTAAAGCCAGACCCTGCTCAGCCAGCCACTGTCCCTGCCTTCAGGGGCTCAGCTGCCCACCTGGCACCTACCTTCCCTGCCAGGCTGGTCCAGAAGAACCTCCTTCTTGGCGATGATGCTGACTGCCAAGGTGAAGGCCGAGGTCACATAGTAGCGCCCCAGCTTGGCAAGGATGTCCACACCACAGCCCTCTGGGAAGTACAGGTCCAAGGCTGAGTTGATCACAGAAGCAATCTGGTAATACGGGGGTGGGGAGACAATCACACATTTGAAATGTGGGGTTGATGCTGAAGACTTGCTACAGCTTCAAATATATTTCTTGAAAGCCTCTTTGATTTCACAAAGAATGACTTGGCATCTGCTAAGGCCCCAGCTGGTAACTGCAGACAGCTGGCCAAGAAGGTAAGCAGAGACAGAGCTGGGTCAAGCCCCTCACACTTGTGTAAATCACCCTCTCAATGCTCCCACAATGGGAAAAGGAACTTCTTTAAATTTATTTTTTATTTTTCCCCTTAATGGGGGCACCGGGGATTGAACCCAGGACCTCGTATACACCAAGCACGCACTCTACCACGAAGCTATACCCGTCCCCTGGGAAAAGGCACTCTTAATCTAACACTTGGTATCAGATTCCAGAAGCCCTGATGTGGAGCTTCTTTCACAAATAACCAATATGTTAAATAACAGTTTTTTTTTTTACAGAAAATACAGTGAAGGAAAAAGATCAAAGTCATCCCTAATTTTATCACCCAGGTTAACCTAATCAAGTAGCTCCTGGGGGGTGGGAAGGGACAGACTGTGATTTCAAAACATAGAATAGATAAACAAGATTACACTGTATAGTACAGGGAAATATATACAAGATCTTATGGTAGCTCACAGAGAAAGAAGTGTGACAATGAATTTATATATGTTCATGTATAACTGAAAAATTGTGCTCTACACTGGAATTTGACACAACATTGTAAAATGATTATAACTCAATAAAAGTGTTAAAAAGAAGAAGCTCCTTTGATTCTCGATTTTTTTTATTATTAACATGATAGGGCCATACGTGTATGCTTTTATAATCTATTATTTCAATAAACTGAATGACTTCCCCATGTGTGTAAATGTTTTCACCATAAAAATATACCATAACTTGGTTAACCAATCCCCGAGTGTTAGATGGACCAGGGAAGTCTTCTGTTATGAACTAGGCTGCAATGCTCATCTTTGAAGCTAATTCTTTGTCTCCATCACATTATTTTCTTAGGGTGGGTTCCACGATGTGAATGTCCCAGGACGAAGCACTTACTAGGGGAAAGCGACCCCTAGTGGTTGAAGTGGGGATTGCAATAACACCTTTTCCCTGATTTCATGTTACCGATACGGAAACAGATGGACTGGGAGTGGACAGAAGGTTGGCTTTTCCTTCCCTTGCCCTCCAACCTGATTTCTCATCAGCCCACTGGAGGGTGAAGAGGGCATACTCAGACCCTCAAAGAGCCTTATGACTTATGCAAATATAGCCTGATTAAGCCTCAAATATGTGCATGGCGGGAGTCAGGCAAAGCTGGGTGTGTAACCAGCTTTGCCATGGAGCCAGGAAGTAAAGTAACCTCTGTGAGCCTCAGTTTGCTCAGCTTTAACACAGGGTTAATGATAAGATAGCTCAGGTAAAGCACCAAGCACGTAGCACCTGGGACCCACTCACAGTGAGCTCAAGGATCATTATAACCTTCCCTGCTTTCACCCCCACCCCCACCAATCTCGGTGTGACACTTGCGACCCCAGGGTTACCTCGTCGAATCTCATTTTAGCTCCTTCCACTCCAGGAAAGCCGCCACCGAGGTCCAGGATGTGCATCCTGTGCCCCAGCTCAGCGCCCATTTCAAAGACGAGCCGGGCATCCGAAATGGACTTGGCAAAGGCCTGTGGGTCAGGACAGCCACTGCCAATGTGAAAACTGGGAAGAGAGGAAGAGCCTCGGCTTACATGCAGGACCGCAAGTACCCACCACGTCAGCCCTAGCCGGGAGCAACCTCAGACAAGCACACTGGACACTGTGCCTATTTTCCAGATGTAGTGATTAAGGGCCTAAAAGGTTAAATGTGTTGCCAAGGGCCAAGTAGCAAGTGAGGAGTAGACAGGAGACTAGAGCAAAGGTCCCTTGGCACTGGGTGCCTCACCCATCCCTCCATGCTGCCCCTAGGGCTAAGCCTTCTGGGATGAGGGCTAGGGCCCCAGAGTCAGCCAGATCTGATGTACATTCAAGCAGTGTGGCCTGCCCATGCTTTAGTTTCCCCATCTGTAAAGTGGGGATAAGATTCCACAGCATTTAGCACAATGAAGCATTTAGCCCAGTGCCTGGCACATCCTAAGTCCAGAATAAAGGAAAGCTATATTATTAGGTCCTCCATATCCCTCCCAGAAAACAGGCAGAGCCAAGGTGGACGACCTTTGGCCTCAGGTTGGGAAAACTCCTGCAAAGAAGGGTCCCTCCTAGATCCTCCTGGGACAGGACCTTCTGGGGATTGTGGGGTCGGGGCAGTGGGACACTCTAAACCTTCTTTCTTAAAGGGAGGAAACTCTCAAGTGGCAGAATTCCAGGCCCAGGGACAGGCCGGCCTTGGTGGCCCCAGGGGAGGTCTCACACAGAACTGGTCAATTCCCAGGAAAGAAGTGGGCATGGGTGGGGATGGCGGAGCTCCAGGGCACTTACCTCACACCCACCACCTCAACATGGTCTCTCTTGGCATTTTCAAGCAGGTGTCTGCAGGATTTCAGTGACGCACCGAATTTGAGGCTCAGGCGGCTCAGGGAGTGGGAGTCATCAGTAGCAATGCTCAGAACCATCCTGAGGAGACATGCAGTGCACCTCTGCAGGGGGACCCTGCCTCCCCCACCCCAACCACATCTTCCCTGAGTCAAGGGGGGTGAACCCTCGTGGCTCAGAGCTACCCAACCCCATAGGGCCCTGACCCCTTCCTCCCCCTGCACAGCCTGTCAGCCTCTGAGTCCTGTCCAATCAGTTCCCTAAACATCTCTGGGCACTTCCCTGGGGCCTCTGCCCTGGTCCCAACCTCACTAGTTCTCCCCTGGGCAGCCCTGCTTCCTCTGAATCAGCCTTTACACCAGCCGGCCTTTTCCAACTTTTTTGTGTGAGGGGACTATTTATTTAAACACAGTCTTATTGAGAACCCTGACATCCCCAGTATGTCAAACAGACAAAATGGAACCTAAGGCCCCCCTAGAAACCCCAGAGTGTCCAGTGACCAAGTGAGAGCCACATCCTGAGCAAAATGTCCAGCCCTGACCCCCTCCAAAGCCCACGTGCATTGAGCCCCTGCCCCGTGACTAGCGTCATTCACTTCTCCTCCACCCCTCGCACGTGGTGTGTTCCAGCTTATCCCTCAAATTTCTGCTTATCCCTCAAATTTCTGCTTATCCCTCAAATGCCCCGTGTGCTGCTTCTGACCTTCATGCATTTGCTCGTGTGATGCACTATTTATGCCCTCCCCAGATGCTGTTCACTCCTCAAGACCTACCTCAAATGCCACTTCCTCCGTGAAACTTTCCCGACCACCCCTCTTGCTCCTTCTGCCGTGACTTTGACCTCCAGAGTACCGTGGGTTGGCTCTGCCTGGGCAGTTATCCATCATTCCTACCTCTGTCCTAGTCAGGCTCTGGCATCCTGGGTCCAGTCCAGGAGTGTCTGCCCAACCTCCTGTGACTGTGGCCGTGTCCAGGGCAGGGTCCTCAGCCCCAACCCTACTCCACCCGCTCCCTCCACCCTCATGCACAGCCTGGCCTCCCACATGAGTGGTTCTCAGCTTACTTGGCACTGGGGTGGCTTTTTACCACCTTCGCCAGCTCCATCTCGTTGTCAAAGCTCAGCAGCTGGACCCCATGCTTGGCAGCATACTTGATCTGTGCAATTTGCTTACAGGGGCTGGCGTAGATGATCTTACTGGCAGGGACACCAATATGCTGGACCAACTCCATCTCTGCCTGTGGGGTTCCAAAGGTGGTGGTCAGGAAGTGCCAGGGCCTGCTGGGCCCACAAAGGCCAAGGAAGCACAGTTGAGGGGCAGAGTCACAGCTATGCCTGGGGGAGGTACTTAAGAAGTGGGCCTCACTTTTAGACAACAGATACACAAAAACCAGGACTCCTGCTGGTTCACCATTGACAAGGAGGGCTGCCACGTACAGCTGTGCAGGTGGTGAACTGCACAGTTCCAGGGAGGGAGGGATCCCATTCAGAGAATACATGGTGGATTTGTATGTTTATTACAACTTCCCAATAGTAAAGCAACTCGCTCTAACAAAACATCTCACTCAGTGTATTCACAATAATGACATGTCTTAAGGAAGGGATACATATTCTAGTTCACACAAAGGCACTATCAGATTCATGGTGGCCCAGAAAACAGGTTTCTGACACATTTTTCTGGCAGAATTAAATGTTTAGAGAATACCATTTGATATATTAGAAAGTTCAACCGACCAAGAGTCTTTTTGACACAGGTAATCCAAGACCCAGAGACCTGCTTTGTGTATGGCACTGGGATGGGTGGCTCCAGTAAGGCCCTCTCCCCACGGGGCCTCCTCTTCCGCAACTTTCCAGAACAGTGCTCCACCCGATTGCTGCATTAATGATACAGACAACGATGATGATGGTGGTGACAGCAACCACAGTCACTGAGCACCTACCACAAGCAGGCACCGAATGTGATGCTTTTTAAAAATATTTTTAAGTTTACTTTTTATTTTTTGAAGAGTGACTATGTATTTAGATTGGTTTTATTTCAGGGGGGAGGTAATTAGGTTTATTTATTCCTTTATTTTTAGAGGAGGTATTGGAGATTGAACCCAGGACCTTGTGCATGCTAAGCATGCGCTCTACCACTTAAGCTATACCCTCCCCCACCCTAATGTGATGCTTTACATCTCTGGGGACTGTTGGTAAGAGGACATTCCTTGGTATGACGGATGAGAGGAGGTCAGGAAATAATGGCTTAAGGAGTGGGAACCAAGGGAAAGAGACAAGTGAGTGCAGACAAGCAAGTGTGAACAACTCGGTTTGGCCATAAAGAGGGAGCAAGATTGGGGTGGGGATGATGTGGTGCCCAGGAGGATGCTGAGGGAGACAGCAAGAAAGGGCAAGGGATGGGGCAGGAAAGACGGCACAAGGTCCTTGGGACAGTGGGCGTGTGGACCTGAGCCCCGTACAAGGCACGGCTGGTGCCCTTGACCCTGGAGTCTGCCTGATGTTTATCTATACACACAGCCCCAGCTTAGACCTCACTCTAGGTCAGTGTCCACCAAGGCATGGTGCTGTACAGCGTGGCCACCAGCTCCGGCCAACCAGAAGAGGGCAGCCTCGGCCTTCTAAGAAAAGCTGTGCCTCCCTGAGCCACCTCTCAGTCTGGGCACCCAAGGGCTACATGAGCCCACGTACAGGGAGGGACCCCAGCTCCACCACTTCCTGCCCGAGGACCTTGGAGAAGACAGCAGCAGTAGAGTCTGAGACCCCTAGCCATACTCAAGCGGGCCCTTCCCAGTGCCTCCCTCAACCTCTGTGCCACCTTTCCTCACATAGTAAATGTTTCTCACCGGGCTATTGTCAGAACCACGGTAATAATAATTACCTCACAGGGTTCTTGCGAGAATAAAATGAGATCATGTACAGAAAACACTTGGCAAAGCTCCTAGCACAAGAGTGCTCAGCAAATGGTAGATGCTTTTAACGTCCCCCACTGACTTCAAGGTCATGTCCTAACACCCCATGGCTCTGCTCTTTGGAGGCCAGCTCTGAAGCTTGAGGGCCAGGCACAGTGCCCCACCACTGGGTTTCCAGAAACGCAGGACTCTAGTCAGTGGGGTTTGGTC